GGGTACCGTATACCTTGAGTATGAAAACACTATCTAGACCTTGAATTGACCGATCTTTCGGACATGATACTATACTCTAACACTTAAAGATCAAAATCTAGGTGTTAACTCTCCCAATATTATACTCCAAGATCAATTTAATTAGAAATAATAATCGACGGTTATGATTCATCCAAATATAGGCACAAAAAGGAATGCACCATTTTAGGGTTTATAGATTATGATTTAGATAATTATGACCTAGGGTTCACTCATTAAGGGTTAGGGTATAATATCAGACACAAAAATCCTGGTAATTCGAGGTCTAGATTGAGTTTCCATACTCGAGGTATGCGGTACCCCGGATTTCACCCGGGGTACCATAGAAGCCACCATATATGTATATATATATATGGTTCAGGCTAGCGTACGTCAGTCGTACATTGTACGCCCGTCGAGTTTACTATTTAGAGCAAGATACTATACCCTAACCTCTAATGGATAAACCCCAGTCCCTAATTCTCTAACCCAAGCCACGAGATTCATTTAATCTAAAAAATAATAATCAATGGTTCTGATTCAGCGAAATATATTAAAGTGCAAAAATCAAGTGTGAACACAGGCGTACAGCGTACGACTGACGTACGCTAGCCTTTGCCATATATATATATATAGTTGAGAGATGGGTACCCCATGGTTAGATCCTAGCTGAGTCCTTTGTGAGAGAGTTGTAAGACCGTCTTTGGCCGTTAACCTATCATAAGTTAGATCCAGCCTTTGTTTACCTTCTTTCCTCTAGTCATGAGTTCGATTTTTAGACCTTCCTCTTCTTCCTCTAATTCTGACATCACCGGGAACCGTGTGATCAACCAAGAAGAAATTAATTTTGAAACTGTTAGTAAAGAAATTGATAATTGGCAAATTCCTAGGATTTCCCAAAGGAAATTTATGAGCAAAGCAAATTTAACTTCCTCAATAAAATGGATTATACCATCAAAATCGAAGAAAGTGATATTCATCTTTTCAATGATCATGAAACTATCAAACTTTTGTCTCAAAATTCTATTAAACAACACAAAAAGAAGTACAACTATATCCATATTGGGTTAGTTCAAGTAGGGATTAAGCCTCTATCCAAAGAAGGCCTTAATACTGCTATTTTAATGGTTTTACGAGATTGTCGGTTTCTTGAGTTTAACGACTCTTTACTTGGAACTGTTGAATCAAGTCTTTGTAATGGCCCAATTTACTTCAATTGTTTTCCAAACTTTACTGTCTCTCTTCATGACAAAAATATTTTAGATGTTTTAACCCTACAAATAAAAACTTTCAACTATAAAATCTAACAAGGATCTTTACCTATCTCTTTGGTTTACCGCTTAAACTATAAAGCTATGAAATCTGCTTTCTAATCTAAAGCTCTTCAATATGATACAAAAGGAGAAACTATACTTTGGCAAACTTATTTAACTCGTACTAACATTGTTACTCCCAAAACTATCAAATGGGGAGAAGTTACTCTTCCTACAGAATGGACCCTTGAAGGAGCTACCATTCCCAGAAGCATCGACCATCGTCAGGTTAATCAAATTACTAAACATCTTGATGGTACTGTTAACATCTCTTTTGCTAGGAACTCCATCTCTAGCATTTCTGATATAGACCCTGAATTGACAGACGATGCTCGACAGCGCATCAATACTTTTCTAAGAAGCCAATCTTGTAGAAATCTTTCTCCCATACCTACTTATAAAGAAGAACGTGTACTTATACAAAACTCTTTCTATGATTATCTCAATAATATACGAGAACCCCATTCTTTCTTTAATTGGTTCGAACAAGTCTTTTCTCAATCTTCGATAAATGTTCAAACCAAGCCTATGACTTGCACTACAGGAAAAAGATCCTTTAATCACGGTAAATCCTATGTTCGAAAGTGTGTTTACCGTGTTTAATAGTTATAGTCACGGAAAACTTACCGTAATATATACCTCCGTGTTTAATTGTAAAGGTCATGGGAAAGTTGTACCGTGACTATTATAACTAGTCACAGTATAGTTACCCGTGATAGTTTGTATCTATTAATCACGGGAATCCCCCTGACTGATACCAAATCTTGCCACACAAAACCCGAAAAAACCTTCTTTAAAGACGGGATGTAAGCCTTTTGACACTATATTTACCGTGACTAAATAGATTCCCATGACTAGATATCAATCATTAGTCACTGTATTTGATTGACTCTCCCGTGTCTAGATACTAACAATTGGCCACAGTATTTTTCACTTGCTTCTTTTGTTATTTATAATAATCAATTATTGATTAGATTTGTAGCGGCAATGTACAACCATCAACACTGGAGAGAGACAAATATCCCTATTAATACATTATAATACTAATAGTAACATAAACAATATTCTACATTGTAACATGATCTTGATGTCACTGTATAATAAATTGATCGATAGGCTAACTAAAATAACTAAGAACAAATCAACTAATAGTATGTAAAATCTATACATCAAACTAGTCTAGAGTTCAAGTTGAAAAATTCATCCAATCCCCTATAGCTTCTACACGATATTATTGAGTAGTTCTTGTCATAATTATCAACTCCCAGCTCGTTAAGTCTTCCTGAACCTGAAAAACATAGTGAGTAGAGAATTAAAGTTGGCCCCTGTATGCCAGTCTCATCAAATATGACAATTCATAGCCTCCAAGTCGCAAACTCAATAGCAACTACTTAAATGCCAACTCCACCAATTCCAAAATTACAAATGCTTCTTTAGGGCAAACCATTATTAAAAAACAAATAGCAGCCCACACATCAAGACAGCAATGCAATACCTGCATCATGATCTTGCAATATCACAATTCATGTTCGAGAAAATTAGAATTTACTGCCATGGCCAAACCAACAAACCCATAAAAAAATAAGACTATCATTATAGGCATCATGCTTGTAAATCTCTAGAGCCTCAAAGAATGCAGTACCATCAAGTGCGCCAAGGAGATGCTGCTCAGAAAGAATAGGAATTTTAGCAAAGATGATAGCCTGTAAAGCAAGTAAAGAACGAACTTTGAAAGAAGACCCAGTTTCAAACAAGCTTTCTGAAACTTAGAAAGGGGAATATGCTTCTAAGATGGAGGCCTTGTATTATAAGATTAAGAAAGGGAAACTTTGTTGTCATAAAAAAACAGACAGAAAAATGCAGTTAAAAAAAATACATGAGCATCATCTAACAAACTGAAAGGACAATTAGCAAGCAAGAGTGACCTTACCTACAGACGGATGTCTTGATCAAATGAGTTAGACCTGTGAAATCACTAACAACAAAGGCATATATAGTATCACAACCAAGGGATCCTGCGGCACAAAAGAATTCAAAACTTATCGTGAATATCAAGTATACATCATATGAACACAATACTTAATTATTTTATTAGTGAACCTCTCGACTTCTTTACATTGATGAGCAAACAAGGACGCCTGCAAAACAGTTGAAGTATCAATCAGTTCATCAGATTCCGCCTCTTGCCATCACAATCAAGAAAACCAGCAACAACCAAAAGGCCATAGTAAAACCCAGCATCCCAAGTTCTGCATTTTTTCGCTTGTCAAAGCTTGGCACGTATAAGTTATATGTACACAATACTTGGCATCACCAAGAAAGGATTCTGCATTACTTGTACAACCACCTACCTCCCTGATATAATTCATCATATGGAAAGTAATAGACCTTAGGTTCCTTTCCATTCTAAGAAATTACCCATTTGTCTCTACATTAAACCAATATAAAGAAATAAGCCACAAGTCAATACCACAACAAATGAAGATCAGCAAGAGGTCCACAATTATCCATTTGTCTCTTACATGGAGGTCCTGCAACAAGCTTTTTATTCACCATCAATTTCCTAGTCAAATAAACTTCTTCCTGTTACTAGCTTTAGTGTATATGGGAAGACATTGATATTTACCAATCATACAACTGTCAACCAGAGGTCTGAAATGGGCTTGATGATATCATTTCTCGTACAGACTGTTATTGACAAGCATTCATTTTCTAAAACACAACATAATTTTCATAAACTACTAAACTTGTTCTTGAATTAAAGCCCTAAACTACCAAGGGAGGAGCAATACAACATATTTGGTTGTGAAACTAAATGAGGAGGCCAATTGAGTCCTGCTAATCTCTTTGTATCCTGATAATCTCGATGAAAACAAATTGCCAATATGCTGCAAATCAATAAATGACCCAAATACATGGGCATCTAACCTCATACCTGCCTCTACTCCTTTGAAATGCATAGCGGAAATATAACCAAATAGATTGTTGCATACCTCCCTAGTAGTAGTAGCACCAGCATCGGCTCCTCTTCGACACCAGCAGGCAGTAGCAGCCCGCCCAACAGCATCTACACCAACAGCTCCTCTATGATACCAGCAGCAGAACAAAAACCGACCGCTCCTCTTTGACGCCAGTAACAGCTCGGCCCTCACTGTACAAGCACCAGCAGCAGAAGGTCGGCCCCGGCAGCAAAAGCACCAGCAGCTCCTCTCCGACGGCAGCAGCGACAGCTCCTCCTCGGCAGCAACAGCCTCGCTCTGGTCTGGCTAAGAAGAACATTGGGTAAACAATCGAAAACACATATGGGATTTGCTTTTGATGAAAAAATACGAAGACTTCGAGATCAGTGGAACGTGCCTTTATCGATTACACCTAATTTGAGGAGAAGAAATACTTTTCATATTAGGTTTTGGGTTCCATTTTCTTCCATGAACAAATAGAAGTGAGAGAACAAAGAGAAGGGAGGCGTGGAAAGGAAAAGTGAAATCGGTTTTGCCCACATCGTACAAGAGAAGGAAAAAAGGACAAGTGACCTATGAGACATGAGAGCCAAAATTTTAGTTTTTCTGTCTAAAACAAATTGTGGAATGGAGAGCCAAAATTTTAGATTTTTTTTTTTTTTTTGACAAAGGGCAAATGTTTTTCATTCCTTATAGCTGAAAGTTTCGGTTACAGAAGGGGAGCAATAACATCGAGAACTTGGATCCATTCTGTTGGGAGCTGCTTTTTCGCACACGATCTCGCAACCCAGTTAGCTTTCGAGTTACTTTTTCTGTTTGTGTAGTCGAATCGCAGTCCCGGGTGGATGGAGGCCAGTCTCTTAATATGGTTGATCCAAACCGCTGCTCGCCATGGCCATATCTCCTTGCTGCCTGCCAGGGCCTTAATGAGGGTGAGGCAGTCAGAAACGATCCTGCAGGATGTTGACAGTGAGGCCGCCAATCTCGTTCCCTCCCAGAGGGCTTTTGCTTCAGCTTCAAGTGGTGAAAAACATTGCATAGTCTCAGCCTTCCCGTCACACACCTGTCCGTGGCAATTCGTCACAACGATGCCAAAAGCCGCCTCCTGTGATTCACTGAAAAAGGATCCGTCACAGTGTATCTCAAAATCATGAGTACTTGGCGGTGGATAGGAAGTATCAAGGGGTGGATTGTGCTGAGGTTGAGGGGGAGGATCTTTCATCTTCCTGGGACAGGTACTCCATTGGTTCTGTGCAATTTGAGCTTTCTGTATCGTGGAAGGTGGCCAGGGGAGAATGCCTTTGAAGATGCGCTCATTACGAGCTTTCCAGGTCTGCCACATCTGGAAAATGATCCGCTGGATCGAAAGGCAATAGGACCGGGCCTGTAAAGAGAAAAGCTAGTCCACGATATTGGTGAGGGGGGGAGGGGGGAGGCTCAGTCCAGGCCATTCGCAGCTCCACCCTGTTCCTGCGTGGGGGCATCCAAACAAGCAGTGGTGGACAGTCTCAGAAAGGCAGTTGCAGATGCTGCATGATCTGGTGGGGGAGCACCTCCTTGCAAACAGGTTCTCTTTCGATGCCAGTGCATTTTTTGCACATTTCCATATGAAGAATTTCAACTTTGGAGGGAGAGATAAGCTCCAAAGCCATTTCCATTTTTCTTTAGCTGCTTCCGGGAAAGGGTTGCTGTCCCCTTGGTTTCTGCGAGATTGATTGTGGAAAAGGTGGAAAGCTGACTTAACTGAGAATTTCCCCTGCTCCAAAAGTCTCCATGCCCAGAAATCTGACATTGAGGCAGGTCCAATGGGTGTGCCAGCAACACTGTTGAGGTCTTGAGGGTCGATGATGTGGGCCAAGAGATCAAACTTCCATTCCCTTGTGACAGAGTCAATAAAAGTGTCAGTCGTTGCTGGGTCAGTTGAGGTGTAAGGAAGGATAGGGCCTGGTCGATCAAAGCGCCAGGGATCCTTGAAGAACCTCGTTGACTTCCCATTTCCAATTACTCTAACCACTCCCTTCTCCATCCAACTCTTTGCTTCACAAATGCTAGCCCAAATCCAAGATGCCTTGCTCCCTTTCTTTGCTGCCATGAAGTCCGTTCTTGGGAAGTAAATACTTTTAAGCACTCTGACCCACAGAGCATCAGGGTTGGTGAGTGCACGCCAAGCTTGCTTTGCAAGAAGGGCCATGTTGAAAGTGCGAAAAGGCCTGAATCCCAATCCCCCTTCCTCTTTTGGAGCATAAAGAACATGTCCCGCCTTCCAATGTATCGATCGTTTTGAGATATTTCCTCCCCAAAAGAAGTTTTTGAGCATGGAATCCATTTTGTTTGTGGCCGAACGTGGGAGAAGAAAGAGGCACATGATGTATGATGGTATTGCCTGGAAAACAGCCTTCAGCAGTGTCTCTTTACCTCCTGGGGATAAAAGAAGACTCTTCCAAGCTTCCCCTTTGTTTTCCATTCTCTGAATGATGAAACGGAAGGTATCCTTCTTCGATCTTCCCCACTCAGTTGGGACACCCAAGTACGATGAATGACAATTCGACTCTGCAAAACCCACCGTCTGGATGATTCTTTCTTTTTCATCCTCAGGAACATTACGACTGAAAAAGAAGGAGGATTTTTCTCTGTTCACCTCCTGACCAGTAATCGATCCATATGCATAAAGGATTCCCAGTATCTTCTCTGCTTCCTCAGTTGAGGCCTTTCCAAAGATGACAGTGTCGTCTGCAAAAAGGCAGTGTGACAAAGTAGGGCATGATCTATTCAGCTTCAAACCCCGAATCTCCCCACTTTGTACTGCTTTTTCAATCAGAAAGGAGAGGGCATTGGACAGCAGTATAAAAAGTAGGGGAGAAAGGGGATCCCCTTGTCGGATACCCCTAGTTGGTATAAACTCCTCCGAAGGTCTTCCATTGAACAGAATTTTGAACTTCACTGAGTCAATACATGATTTGACCCATCCACACCAATTGTCATCAAACCCATATGCTCTAAGTAGTTCAATAAGGAAATCCCATTCCACCAGGTCATACGCTTTCCTCATGTCAAGCTTCATCATCATGTATTTGTTATTGCCTTCCTTGTGTTTCTTGAAATGGTTTAGGACCTCATGAACGATGATAATATTGTCTTGAATCTGTCTCCCCCCAGTAAAGTCTGCTTGTAGCTCATTCACCAAAATTGGCAAGAGCGGTTGCAGTCTATTGGCCATGATCTTTGTGATTACCTTGTACCGGAAGTTACAGCAGCTAATAGGTCTGAACTGCCCTATTTTTTCAGGGGCATCCACTTTGGGAATTAACGTGATGTACGTGTCATTCCAGTTTGGTGGCATAACACTACTGTTGAAGAAGCTGATAATTTCCTCGCAAAGCTTGTCCCCCACGATATGCCAATACTGTCGGAAGAAATGGCCCGGGAAGCCATCCGGTCCTGGTGCTTTGTTTGCACCCAACTGGAACACAGCTCGTCTAATCTCCGCCTTCTCCATACTAGCATTCAAAAGGTTGTTGTTTTCCCTCGTAACCAGCGATGGGAAGCCGTTAATAAGAGAAGAGTTAAGGTTCCATTAATGCTTGAGAAAAGACTGGAGTAGAAATTGGTTACGTGTCCCTCAAGGTTCTGGTCAATAGTCAACCAGTTCCCCAAATCATCCTTCAGCTTGTCGATGTGGTTCCTGTTCTTTCGTTTGATTGTGCTAGCGTGGAAAAACCCTGTGTTCTGATCACCTTCCTGGAGCCAGAAGTTTCTGGATCTCTGAGCCCAAAATTCCTCTTCAAGCTTCCATGATGCCTCCAACTCCTGCAGTAAGCTTTTCTCTTCCTCAATCTCTGTATGATTTCTCATTGGCCCGTTTAAATCTTGTAGCCTTCTCCTGATATCCTTTTCTCGTTTCATTTTCTTCGCTCTATCAGTCCTTGCCCATCTCTGAATTTCTTCTCGGCAGTTAGCGAGGGTTTCATTGATCTTGGCTCCTTTCTTCCACAAGTTATCAATGATCTGGGTGCACTCCCCATTTTCTTTCCATCTTTTATCAAATCGAAACGGGGTGTCCCTATCTTGTTGCTTAGGCTGCAAATCAATCCGTATTGGACAATGATCCGAGTTCACAAAATCTTCATGGTACACCTTAGCTGTTTCATACTTGAGTCTCCATTGAGCAGAGCATAGCCCTCGATCCAATCTTTCTCGAATTAAGTCTTCTCCCTGCTGGTTATTGGACCAAGTAAAGACTGGTCCAGAGAAACCCAGATCGAATAGAGCATTCTGCGAGATGAAATACTTCAAGGGGTCTACATTCTCATTTCGTAAGGGGCATCTCCCCTGTTTTTCAAAAGGGAACAGGGCAACATTCAAGTCTCCTACAATAAGCCAGCTGATATCTTGATCTTCTCTAATGATCGTAAGTCGATCCCAGAGAGCCCTTCTCTCCACCGCCGTGGTGGGAGCATGGACAAAAGTACAGAAGAAGTCTTCCCCTTTTCTACTAATACACACATCCAAGTAAAATCTACAAGCATCCAAAATGCGGACATTCACGTCCTCCTTCCATCAAAGAGCCAAACCACTACCTTCATCTACTGGGTTAACATAACTGCCGTAATCAAACTTCAGTGCTCTCCTTTTGTCTTCCATGAAGGGTTCATCCTTCCTGGTTTCCATTAGGAATAGAACTGACGGGCTATACTGCGGCACAGTCTGCCACAATAACTTCGTATAAGGGATCGCCCGAATCCCCTACAGTTCCAGCTCAGAATCCTCATCCTTGGTTTGGCGGCTCAAGGCTTGCCGCCGCTGCCCTCAGAGAGTTGGACTCGCCCTCCCCGGACTGATTCCCTTCCGCTGTCAACTCTGTCAAACTCCTTCTTTTCGTAAAATACTTTCGCCTCTGGTAAGTTATCCTGTTTTCCCCTGGAACAAAAGCCAAAGAGTCAAAAGAAAAGTTAGTCGAAGCCTCCGTTTGTGGGTTGGGGCAGCTTGGGCTGACTCGATCTGGTTTCCTCTTTTTTTCGGGCCTGGTTCTGGGTTCTTCTTCTTCTGTTGCCACTTCCTTCCCGGTGTTTTGGTTGGGGGCCTGTTCAGTTGGGGTAGATACAGGGCCTGCTGTTGACTTTGCTGTTGTGGGGCTGCTGCTATTGTCATGGTAATAAAATGGGCTTGCTAGGGATAGGGAGCGGCCCATTTCAAACAGGCCCGCTGCTTTCTCTCTGCTTCGTCCTCCTTCCCCTAGGTCGAGGGATCTTTGCATTGCCTTTGTTGTTGCTTCCATCTCCCTTTCCAGAATTGTCGGCTGAAAGTTGGTAGCAGGTAAGTTGACTTTCCCCCTTTGGACCCACTCCGTACCAATTTCTGGCAGTGGCAGAGTAATAGCCGTGAACCCAGGTGGGCTCGACGAGGAGCTATGTCCTGCCTGACCTGCATATTGCAGGAGCGTAGTTTCTCCTCGGGGTCCGCGTATGAGACCTGTGGGATGTCCGGTCAGGGTGGGCCTTTGATTTCTTGTCATCTTCTCCCTGAAGGATGCCGGTGGTGTATTCGCCGGGGAGTCATGGCCGGCTTTCAGCGCTGCTGTATATACCTCCGACGGGTCGATACTTAGCCCTCTTCTCTGGTGGTCCTCCCTCTCCAGGCAATTATGGATCAGGTGACCTAGTCTCCCGCAGAAAAAGCACAAGTCCATGATTCTCTCATATTTGAAACTCACCCATATGGATTTCTCACCCAACGGGTATTCAAAGCCGATCGGTATGGGTTGATCCAGCTGTACTTCCACCTTTGCTCTGATGAATTTCAGCCACCCTCTGCAGTCGAAATTTGACTGGTCGATGCAATGGAACTGAGGGAAGATATATTCTGCCAGTGCTTTGATAGCTTCTTCATCTTTAAGTGACTGAGGAAGGTCATGTATTTGCACCCACAAGGTTATTGTCTCGATGTTTTCTGCTTCAGCCTTCTGTTCTCCATCCCATTTCTTCAGTGCTACCAAGGTGTTGCTGAGATTCCATGGCCTGGCATCCCATACAGCATCCCGTTGTTGCTGGGACTGGAAGGTGTAGACAAATAGATTCTCTGCTTCTTTGGTGGTCTGCACTTCCCCATAGGCTCTCCATTTGTTGATGGCGGCATTTTTGGCCTTGTGGAGGTTGATGCTCGAGTCTGTAACCCATTTGCCCAAGAGCATGGCCATTCCGCTTCCCCTCGCACCCACAATTGTTGGCCTCACATTCAGTACCAGATGGCTTCTTTCACCCCTCACATAGGTCTGGTGGTTCTCCATTTTGTTGTTTCTAACTCTGTGTCGGCTATTTTTTTTGGTATTCTTTGTGTGCTCTCTGATCTGTGTTGTGGTGATGATAGGCTGGATGCAAACCCCCTTCAACTTCATCCTTTTTATAGGCCAAGGATCCCTCCTGGTCGCTGACTCTCCTCTTCCACTCTGCATTGAATGTTACTACTCTACCACCGCCACCCTTGTTATTCCCTTCCCTATTAGCCCCTGTCAGGTTCCCTCTTAATTGCCATTTGTGTGATCTGTCTGTGGAGACATTTATTCTTCCATAGTCTGCTTTGAGGTCTCTGGGTTGCTGCAGAGTAGCTTGTATCTTGCGTGTGCCCTCTTTGCATTTACTCCTTCTCCTGGACTGTCTTGGCCGAGCAGGTGCGGAGTTAATGTAAATGATTGTTGTATGGCCCTTCCATAGATCCGTATCAGGTGGTTGCTCCTCCCCTTTCTTGTGGGTTTCGCCTGCAAAATGGATTTGGTTCTGCACGCCTTCAATACCTTTCTTTTCATCTGACTTCCCTTCTTTATACCCACCTGTTGACTCCGCGCCCTTTCCCCTCCTTCTAATGGTGTTGATTGGCTGAACTTCTGGTGGTTTGGGCGGCGGAATTAGTTGCTTCTGCTGGGTTAATACCCCTCTGACCTTCCTTTCATTTCCTTTACTGGTAGTTGGATAAATCGCCTCCTCATACCTATAGATCCGGCCATTAATGCCCTGGATATCTTTCTTCTGCCCTTGTTGTGGTTGCCAGGTGAGGTAAATGCTTTGATTGATGTGGACAGTTGGGGGAGAAAGGGAGGTCCTCAGGTGAGGCTCTTTGAAGGCTCCATTGAAGGCAGCTGTAGATGACCGGTGAAGGTGGATTACCTCCGGTGAACAGAAGTTTGGCATATCAGAGAGAGAGAGAACTATTAGTTCCCCTACTTTAGTGAGGGATAGTTCCCAAAATTTTAGATTGTGGAGCCAAAATTCTAGCGCCCAAATTTTCGGCAGCAAAAATGGAGGCGGGAAAAAATACTGGTAGCCAAAATGACCCCAAATTTCCAAGAGCCAAAATTGGGTTTGCAATGTGTGGAAATTTTTGGGTTTGCAAAATTAAAGAAGTCCCAACTCCAAATAATTAACCAAGTTAAACTTTAAAAAATAAATTTTGGAAGGCGTGTGATGGATAAAATGAGAGAGCCAATTTTGAATATAAAATTCCTTCTATATAAAATTAGTTTGTAAAATAATAATAAAAATTCATGTATCTACAATTAACCATGTTAAACTTTTAAAAAATATTATCATACTAAATTGAAATCTATGAAATTTAAAATATCTTTCACATAACGACCTAAACTTTAAAATAATAAATTTCCATGTTGATCACGGTAAAAAAAAGTTCCAAGACAAGCCCAAAGGACATGAGACAATGATTCGACTCAAGACTCAATAACAAGACCGATTCAGAATAACCGCGTAGGCAAACAAACTGCCGAAGAAAGAGCCTGTTATGCTTATGCAACTACATGGGCAGCTCTGGGAGAGTTCTGAAGAGCAAAAGACGCGACCATGACTCAAATAATGAGAAAAAGACATTAAGAAGACACAAAGGACATAAAAAGGAAACGAACTCCTCGAAGATCGCTCCGGCCAGCGAATGCGTAGTTTTCTCGAGCAGAGCTTGTTAGATGACCATTTGCGAGTCGTCGTCACAAGTCACATAAAATAAATGTGTTAGAAGTCATCTCGCTAACAAACGCATCTAGACCCCTCATCAAATTTAGTACAAACAGATAGAATCGAACCATCACCTGATAGATCGACGTAATTGATTGCACTCTCTCGATTGATCTTCATAACACTATAATACCCCGCAAAGTGGTAAGCCAGTATGACAACCACTGTAGTACTAAAAATCTCTATGTCGAGAGATTATAATATACCCTTAGAAATTAGTCGAAATTATCGAATATGCAACACCGAAAAGTGTGATTTATCTTATTAATCACGTGATTAACCGTGACTAACAATTGATCACGGTAAACGAAGACTGAAAAACAGATAAATTAATTCCCGTGATTGAAACTATACAATTAATCACGGGAAAATATTTTGTGACTAATAGTATACTTCTTGGTACGGGAAAACTTACCGTGAATAAGATCCTGTGACTAGAAACCAGTTTTCTTGTAGTGTTGGTTAACTACTAGTAACTCTAAGATCCAATCTATTCACCCTCCTAATGCTCCTATTAATTTTTCTTATTATGGAACAGCAACTGAAGCCTCTCCTTTTAAATTAAAACGAGAAAATAGTGACCATGTCAAAGGAGAAGATATTCGACGTCTGATTGAACAAAACAATTATACAAACCGATTTCTTCAGACCTTAGGAGATCAACTTACTAATGTTGAAATCAGTTTACCTCTGTCTTTTGCGTCTACTTCAAATACTCCTATTCCTCCTTCCAACAAACTTAATTCCCCCATTTTCAAACCTTTTGAAGTTTCTAAAGAATCTAGTCTTGAATTTAAGCTTGAAATAGAAAAACGTCTTAAACAACTTTCTACACAACTATCCATTTCTAAGACTCCTTATATTTCTGACTCAAAATCCAGGAGCAACGAGGATCAAATCGTCGATGACTCAGCCGAAGTAATTCAAGACCTAGAAGGTCATATTGAAACAGAAATCAATCGTCTCCGATGGAACCAACCCTCTGCATCTAAGATGTATTACCCACGTCCCACAACACCTTATTTAGCTCTCGAAGAGAAACCCACCATTATCCAAAATAAATACAACTACAATTATATTTATGAATGGAATCTTGATGGATTTTCAGAATATCAAATTTTGAACCTTCTTCAACAAATGACCATGGTAGCTAATGCTTACAAAACACAAAATCAAACTTCTAATTACGCTATAGCTGAACTACTTATAGCCGGCTTTGCTGGTCAATTAAAGGGTTGGTGGGATAATATCTTAACCGCAGAAGACCACAGAACTATTATTACAGCTGTCAAATGTGATTCTTCTGGAACTCCTATTTTAGACTCCAATACTCAATCTTCTCAAGATGCAGTTGCATCTCTAATTTTTGCCATTTCAAAACATTTTATTGGAGATCTTTCACATCTTAAAGATAAAAATGCTGAACTACTTTCTAATCTTCGTTGTAAAAAGTTTCATGACTTCCGATGGTACAAAGATACATTTTTAACTAGAGTTATGCAAAGAGAAGATGGAAATCAACCATTTTGGAAAGAAAAGTTTTTAGCCGGTTTACCCCGTCTCTTAGGAGATAAAATCCGAAACAAAATCCAAGACACTTTTAATGGTCAAATTCCTTATGAGCAACTTACTTACGGAGAACTTATTATCTTTATACAAAAGGAAGGATTACAAATTTGCCATGATTTAAAACTTCAAAAACAAATCAAACGCGAACAAAAACTAACTCGAAAAGAACTAGGATCTTTTTATGCTCAGTTTGATGAATCTTACTCAAAAATTTCTTCCAAATCTAACTGTGAGGATTGTAGCACCAAACCTCATCAAAAACATTGCGATCTTCCCTACTGATCTTAAAAAACAACGAATCAAAAATCTCATTTCTCTAGGAATCCCCGCCCAGATAAGGGACCACGATCTAACAATGATAATAAAAATATTACTTGTTTCCGTTGTGGAAAAACAGGTCATATTTTCAAATATTGTCGTATAAAAAAGAAGCTCAATGAGCTTAATTTTGATGAAGAGGTTCATGACAAAATCAATAATCTTTTTCTCCAACACTACTCTTCTCATGAGGATTCTTCTTCTTCTTCTTCTTCTAATGATGAGAATCTTCAGGCCTTACAATTTGATGACATCGATGAAAGTTCTGAATCTTCTATCAATGTTTTAACCAAAGATCAAGAGCTTATTTTAGATCTACTCAACAATATTGATAATCCTCATCTCAAAGAAAAATATTTCAAAAAGCTTCATGAGCACATGGAGAAACCTCCTGTGACTATTCCACCTACCAATCCCTTTCATCAAGGTTCGACGTATAGTGTCAAAGATATCCTTTCTCGACATAGTAATAACGATTCCCACAATCCTTCTCTTCCTGACTTCCAAAAGGAATTGGATATTTTTAAGAAAGAAATTCAACAATTACGACAGTTACAAAATAGTGATCATGAAATATTACAAACTTTAATAGCTCTCAAACCTTTAGAAGAGCCATCAACATCTAGCCCCGAAAACTTTTTCGATGAAACTCCTCACGCAACCAACAGTTTAGAAATTGAGGAAATGCTAACTGATGACGATTTTCTATATTTTTTATCTACCATTACTACCCAAAAATGGTATGTTATCATTAATATTCAGGTTTCTTCTGATTTTACTTTAAGCACAGTGGCCCTTCTTGATACAAGAGCAGACATGAACTGCATCCAAGAAGGATTAATTCCAACTTAGTACGAAAAGACCCTCAAGCGTCTATCTACCGCTAACTCTCAACCTCTTCAAATACAATATAAACTTTCTAATGCTTTAATTTGTCATCAAAATGTTGAATTCAAAACTCCTTTTATCCTAGTACGTGACATGCAACAAAAGGTGATCTTAGGGACACCTTTTCTAAATCTTCTAAAACCTTTTACCGTCACCGACCAAGGAATTAACACTGTTGTGTTAGGAAACAAGGTTGAATTCTCATTTCTCAAAAAACCAAAAGTTCAAAACCTAGATGTTTTACGACGTTCTTCTATAAAATATATACACCATATAATTCATTGTAAAACTAATCAAATATCTTATTTGCATGATGAGATACATTTTCAGCGAATCTTACAACAGCTTTCTCAACCTCTTTTGCAAAAATGAATAAACTCTTTAAAAGAGCACATTGAAAGCTCTATTTGTGCTGATACACCCAATGCTTTTTGGCATAAAAAACAACATCAGGTTGATCTTCCTTACGAAAAGATTTCACAGAAAATCTCATTCCCACCAAGGTCAGGCCTATCCAAATGAATTCGGACCTTGAAAAACATTGTCGACAAGAAATTAAAGAATTGCTCAAAAAGGGCCTTATCAGATCTTGCCAATCCCCTTGGAGTTGTTCTGCTTTCTATGTCATTAATAATGCAGAAAAGGAACGTGGCATTCCTCGACATGTTATAAACTACAAACTGTGGAATAAGGCTCTAAAATGGATTAGGTATCCTATCCCCAACCAAAAGGATCTACTCTAGAAACTTTCACAATCCCTAATATTTTCTAAATTTGACATGAAATCCGGATTTTGGCAAATCTAAATCAATGAAACATACCGCTATAAAACTACTTTTACCGTTCCCTTTGGCCAATATGAATGGAACGTCATGCCGTTTGGTTTAAAAAATGCTCCCTTAGAATTTCAAAGAATTATGAATCAAATCTACTCTCCTTATTTTGATTTCATAATAGTTTATATTGATGATGTGTTGGTTTTTTCTTCGTCCATTGACTAACATTTCAAACATCTCAGTTTATTTCTTGAAGTGACTCGACGTAACGGTCTGGCTGTCTCTAAACCAAAACTTTGTCTTTTTCAAACTAAGATACGTTTTTTGGGTCATTACATTAGTCAAGGAAAAATTGTTCCAATAGAAAGAACTCTTCAATTTGCAGATAAATTTCCTGATCAAATTTTAGACAAAAATCAATTACAACGGTTCCTGGGTAGTTTAAACTATGTCCTTGACCTTCCTTCACGTACTAGGACCTGAAACATCACAAAAAAGAACAACCTAGCGTGAAATCAGCCTAAAACACGAGAGATGAGACTCAAACGGTACCGGAATGGTGGACAAAAACATGTGTAAATATCGAGTCATCAGTAGACTACGTCTCGAGGTGTGCAG